TTAATGCCAGCGCTTGGGAGGCAGATGCAGGTGGATCTCTGGGATCAAGGCCATTCAGAGTTACAACACTGATTCTGATTGTATTTTTGTTTTGTTCATCATAACATGGTCTCATTTTGAAGGATGGCCTAGAATTCATGATCTTCGTCTCCATTTGAATGCTGAGATTCCAGGTGTGCACTGCCACACTCATTTACCTGGTGTGGGGACTACATTCCAAGTTCCTGATTCTCCAACTTCATTCTCTTGCTTTGAAGAATCAAACTGGGTGGTGACACACACCTATAATCCCAGCTCTACAGAGGCCTGGGGGAAAAAGCCTGTCTCAAGAAAACAGTTCTAACATAGGCAGTAGAAATGGGCCAGTTCACTGCATTCTGGTGTGTTATGAAAAAGAGCAACCTGTGTCCTGATGGCCACAGCAAAGATTCAGAATCCACCTCCAAATCTTAGCAAGCCATGTCAGTTTCTTACTTAGTAATTTGGGGCACTGTCAATAATTTTTCCTCAAGAAATGAACTGTCTTTTTTCCTTTACCCTCATCCTTGACAAAAGCTTCTCAGTAGCGCCATCAGTATTTAGCTTGGTTCATATCCAGTGATGGCAAGGACATGCCACTCAATGCTACTCACCGGTGACAACAGAGCAGTGTGAACACACATTTGCAACTTCCCCACACTACAATCAGTCCCCCAAATTCTTTACTGTCATCCAAATCTCTCTACACCATGACTCTAGTTACCTACAAATGTCCTACTCTCCTTAGGCTTCTGCATGGGCTCAGTGTGACAGTAGGCCCAGTGGTAGCTGCTATGCAGTACAGAGTGACAGGACCATAGAGCAGGCATGCTGGGCCTGTCCACAGCTTCCTGGTGAGACCTTAGATGCTCAGCAGTGACCTTCCCTGCACACACTGTGAGCATTCAGACTAAGAAAACCATGAGCATCTGCACAAGCCTGGGCTCTGGCTTACGGTCTGAGGTCACTCAAGGCATCCAGGAGTACTTTCATGAGTGACTTCAGTCCCAGGGTTCCCAGCAGGTGACAAGTTCTGGGACAAGAACGAAGGTCTGTCTACCCCACACATTTCTCTGTTTGACATAGTCATGAACAGGAGTCACACGTGGGTGAGCACCCTTCATCACTATAGCATTTTTTGTTGTTTCAGTGCTGGGAACTGACCCAGGACTTCACACCATGCTAGGCAACCATTCACAACTGAGCTAAACCCCTCACCTTACCCAACAGTGACCCATTGTCATTTGGAACACTGCAAGTCATGCACATGAAACTGTGCTGTGGTTCCCAGGATGTGAGGGTACCACTTCCCTTCAATCCTGGCCAGAGGAGGGGACTGTGAGTATTGAATATTACTCAGAAGACAGCCTTCATTTTTTCTACTGCAAGGACCCTCCTTCCTCTCTATTCCATTTCCCACGTCCCCAGCCTCCTATGATGGCATATACTTAACCAAGAAATAATTAACTGTAATAAAAAAAAAAAGGTAACTAGTGACACAAATTCACCAAACCCATCTTTTGCCAAATGTGGCTAGGTTGAGAATATTTAATTTGAATTTTTGAAAAATTAGTATCTTGATTTAGTCAGGTTTGGGGATTACTGGAGATCAGAAAACTGTTGTACACAAAAAACGATCAGGGAAAATCAAAGTTTCCTTGAGCTTCTTCAGAGTAGCCACAGGAATGGCTAAGAGATGTCAAATAAAGTGTCATCACTCAAACTTGATGCCTTGAGCCAGAGGAAGGTCCGTGCTGTAGTTGATGGTACTGGGGAGAAGAGAATTAAATGAATGGCAGTGCATATGTAATATAGAACACTTTCATAGCATAACAACACAGGCCCATTTATATTAACAACTAACAAGTTGGTAAAAAAAAAAAAGTATACAAAACAATGTCAGTGTGATTCCTCATAAAAGAAAAAGAAACACAGAAGTCTGGAGATGTACATCACCAGTTACTATCGACTTGCCCCCCTCCAGTCTTGCTCATACTTCCAAGCTGATCTCCCCACCCTTAAACTTACAGGCCAGACCCCCATGGTCCTCTCTACTTCGCTATGCAAAAAAACTCCTTCCAACTCCTCATGCTGAGTGACCCAATACTCTGGCCCTCCCTATTCCACCTCTGGGGTAGAATCCAACATGGAAATTTCATAGTTGTTATGCTAGACAAGGATGCTAGAAGGGACAATCCAGGGTGAGTGTCTTTCACTAGAAATGTGTGGGAGTCACTTTTTTCCGACCTTTTTCTGATTTGGGAAGTATCTGTGTATTCAGGGTGGGACTCATGTTTCAACCTGAAGTCCATTCCTGTTTCATGTAACTCTGTACACACTGCCTCCAGGTAATTTCATACATTCCTAGGATACCTACGTTATGACTAGCACCCATCATATGACCGGCTGCAGAAGTTTCCCCATGTTATGGCATGCCAATGCAGAACTGTTCAGATTTGGGAGCATTTAGGATTAGTGGTGCTTAACTAATGTGTAGCATGAGTGGAGCATGCATACTCAAAAAGAAGGCAGCTACAGAGTCTGGAAAAGTAAAACCAAGAGAACTTGAGCAAAGAAAAAACTGGAAGACAGAAGAGCAACAGCCCATTCCCAAAGGCTTCAAGCGCAAACCCTCCCCTGCAGAGCCTTTCCTTACCGCAAACCCTCCCCTGCAGAGCCTTTCCTTACCATGTGGATCTTCGCATGTACTGCTTCCAGGCATCGCTGCCAGATTCCCTGCCACCGCCAGTGTGCTTCTCTCCTCCTACAGAAATACAAAATCATCTCACACCTTTCCTCCTGTGGCCCTCATTTGGCACCACAGCTATCAGATCAAGACAAGACCACTGTGTTGGGTAGTACACACCTATAATCCCAACCCTCAGAGACTGAGACAGGGAGATTTTGAATTCAAGATATATGAAGTGCTCCCCTTCTACCACCAAAAAAAAACCAAAAGAAAATGGAAGAGAAGGAAGAGGTGGTGGCAGCAGCAGCTGGAGAGATGGCCCAGTGGTTAAGAGCACTGTCTACACTGTTGTATAGGGCCCAGGTTCAGTTCCCAGCACCCACATGGCAGCTCACAACCATCTGTAACTCCACTTCCAGGGTACCTGGCACCCTCTTTTGGAGCCCTGCAGGAAGGTACCAGGCATGTAAGTGGTACTCACATATACATGAAAGCAAACACTCATACATATAAAAAATCTTTTAAAAAAATTAATTAGAAAAAAGGAAGAAGGAAATCAACACAGAGACCAACAGCTAAGCAATGTGCAGAGCGTGAGAGACTTTGGAGCACACAGCCTTAAAAGAGTCTCATCAGATCCCTTCCCTCAAGGCTCAGGGATCTATGTGGAAAAGGAAGCAGAAAGACTGCAAGAGCCAGCGGTGGTGGATGATCCCAAGTGAAATGTCTTCCAAACACCACAGAACTGATGTAATATGAACAGAGAGACTGTGGCAACACACACAAAACCTTTACAGGTTCAAGCCAGATAGGATCCCAGCACCAAAAGGGAGAAATGAAGACTGGGCCACACCCCTAACCAAGCAACTATTTGTAAGTGATACCCAATGGCAAAGGAAAAACATTCAATGTGCATATCAACCACATTTCACATGGGGGAAGGCATGCTCAGGAGTAGTTAGCCAAAACAAAGGGAACTCCGTGGTTCCCTTTATTAAAAAAATAAATTTTTAAATTTATTTTTGGCACTTCTTTTTTTGTCTTATTGGTCTTTTGCTTGTTTGAGCTTTGTGTGCATATGTTTAAAGAGAGAGAGGGGAAGAAGGTGAGGAGGTTCTGGGAGGCTACTTATTTTTACTATACTTTGTGTTTTGTTTTGAGTTTTTTGTTGTTGTTTTTCTTTTTTCAAGCTGGGTCTTTCTGGCCTGGTACACAGTCCAGGCTGGCCTCATTAAGGCAATCCTTCTGCCTCAGCCTACAGAGAGCTGGGATTACAAGCATGGGCTACCACACTCAGTCATTTTGGCTAATTTGTTTTTAATTTTTGTATTACATTGATTTAGTGTGTGTGTGTGTGTGTGTGTGTGTGTGTATGTGTGTGTGTTCATCTGTGTTCATACCACAGTGTGGGTGTAAAGACCAGAAGACAACCTCCAGGGTCATGTCTTTCCTTCTAGCTTACGGAGACTGGACTCAAGAGTCTCAGGCATGATGGCAAATGACCTTACCCACAAAGCCATCTTTCTGGCCCAACTATGAATAATTTTTAACAAGTTAAACTTAATATATACAAAAACAAAAACCATACAACTAAACATCAGTAACTCATAGAGTCCAGGAAAAATAATGACTTAGTATTTCATCTAGTAAAATACAAGGAGGGATCAGATAAAGTCTTGAGTGAATGCATACTGTTGACATGAACACAGCCATGCCAAGGACCCCAATACCTCAGACCCATGAGAAGAATGGCAAGGCCTTCCCTAGGTCCCACCAACAGTATGGGTGCCCACCAACAGTTGAGCTTTAGCTAAAATCTGTATGTGCAGAACATTTCAAATGCAGCTCTCTCATCCTAAGGACTACAACTTGAATTGTTCCCCACAGGCCTTCCTGTGGACAATAGCGAATCTGCCTCCTTCTCCTGTTCATACTCTAGATAATAAATGCCCTGAGTTCCTAGGCTGCTGCTTGTGTCTCCATCATACTGCAGAACCCACCCTTACTCAGCTTTTCTGTGTGTGTCTGTCATTTCTTCATTCCTCATCACTCAGTGAATTTCTAAGCCCACTTTGCATGTGTATTTGCATTTGTATTGTATTTTAAGTTTAGCTTTGAAGCAGAAGTTTTTAACCTTTCTGGATCTAAGATCTGCTGCCTAGAAAAAACACTGAATTTCGCAGCGCACACTTTTAATCCCAGCACTTGGGAGGCAGAGGCAGGTGGATCTCTGTGAGTTCGAGGCCAGCCTGGTCTCCAGAGTGAGTGCCAGGATAGGCTCCAAAGCTACACAGAGAAACCCTGTCTCGAAAAACCAAAAAACAAAAAACAAAACAAAAAAAAAAAAAAAAAACACTGAATTTCAAGGCTCATGTATCTTGAGTTCAGGGCCCTGCTCCAACCTAAGTAGAAGATAAGGACTCTGGTAAGAACCTGGGTGGGAATGCATGCTTTTTCAGGCATGCTAGATCACAGGTTATTACAGAACATAAATTGTATTTCCATTTCTTGTTTTGTTTTGTTGGTTTTAAGACAGGGTTTCTCTGTATAGCCCTGGTTGTCTTAGAACTCATTTTGTAGACCAGCTGGCCTCAAATTCAAGAGATCCACCTTCCTCTTATTCCTAAATGCTTTTCTGGGATTAAAGGTATACGCTGTGATGGCCCAGCTTGTGTTTCCATTTCTTGACAAACTAAAGGTGAACATTACTGTTCCTCTGCTACTCAATGTGAAAAGGATTAATGAGAGCAGAGGCTCTTAGCTTGGTGTAGAGTGTTGGCTTAGCATCATGACAGCCTAGGTTTAGCTTCCAGTAGCAAAATAAAAGCATCTTTTAAAAAGGAAAAAACAGATCTCTACATACCAAATGCACCGCCAATCTCAGCCCCGCTGGTAGGAATATTGACGTTCACAATGCCACAGTCTGAACCTTTGGGTCTGTGTGTGTGAGGATAGAGACAGTGAGAACACATAGGAAATCAAACAAAACAGAACAAAGCCCAGACATTCAGGCTCTCACCATGAACACAATCACTCATCACATCAAACTTATATAAATGCTCAAAACAGACTAAGTTATACCCAATCCATCTGAAGATTCTGCCCAAATCCTTGGTAAAAATACTACTTGAAAGTCCTTGTTTCACTTCATTATTCCATGCAAAAACCTCTTGTTCATTCTAAAAGGACAAGATTGAAAGCTGTTAGTGTCACCAGTTTAACTATGCTCAGTCAAAGCTCATTTCATAAAATACAGTGTTAGTGCACAAAAGAAAACCAAGAGTCAATGCTTTGCTATATCTGTTTTCTTTTGTGATTTGGATCTTTCCTTTTTTTTTTACCTTGAATTTGAAGATGTAGAGAATTGGGGCAAAAGTCTCCTCATGCACAATGGGTGCATCATGGGCAAGACCAGTCACAATGGTGGGCTCTACATAATTGCCAGGATGATCCATAACCTTAAGTAGAAAGATCAAATAAAAAGAATGGATGAATTTCCTTTTCCAGGACTTGGGATCAGAGGAAATCATCCTTCCTGCATTTACGAAGAGAAAAACAAAACAGCGTTGATAGGTAAACTATTTCTCCAAAGCAGCATCCTGTATGGAATGAAAAATGCCCTCCTGTTCTTATCTGTCAGAGAGGAAAACAGAAAAAGGTGTTTGGAAAGGAAAACCATGCCATGTGCCACACTAAAGTTATTTGGTGAGGCAGACTACTGGAATGCTTTTTAAGTTAATTTAAAATAGGCAATCTGTACCCATTGTGTTACTTATTAAATAATGTTCTGCACCAATTCATACACTGAATATGACCAATACTCAGAGTGATGGCATCTGGACACAGGACCCCCAGGGAGGCCATCAGTCATTAATAAATGAAGTCAGCAGAACAGGCCTAATCCAATGCGGCCAGTATCCCTTGCCCTTTAGGGAAAGGTCATGTGAGGACTTATCTACAACCCAGAGAGATGTCACCAAAAACTAACTCTATCAGCACTCTGGTACTGGTCTTCAACATCCAATTTACAATGCTTCCAAACTAGTTTCTGATACTTTGTTATGCAAGCCCTAGGAAATTCATATGCATTACATAAAACTCCAAAAACCAGTCTTCACACAACCTATCCACTTAGTGGATGACTGTCTTTCCTCATGAAACACTCTAGCTCTCTAAGTTCTGCATGAACCCTGCACTCTAAACTGCTTGCATGCAACTCTAACTGTTCTGTTCCTCCATGGGCTGACTGAACCATGAACTTAAGTGTCACACAAGGGTAGACCCAATTTCTGTAATGATTAGGTTAAATTCTTTATAGAAAGCTCAATATAAAAAAAAGAAAGCACACAAATATACACCTACATGGTGTCCAACAGAATATAAGTGTCTCCAATCTGGGGGAATCTGCTTTCAGATTGCCTTGCAAGGACTGGGTGTCCATAAATTTTAAATTAAACGAAACTAAACAAGCAATAAATGAGGTATACACCTTTTGCACAAATGGAGGCAACAAATCCATGAAGCAAAGGCCTTGACTATATAGTAAGAGAACTGAAAATGAATGTAGTTCTCAATGGGGAGAATGACACTTGCCTTTAATCCCAGCACTCAAGACAGGCAAAGGCTGGTAAATATTGAATTCCAGGCCACCAGAGTTACATGATAAAATGGTGTCTCAAACTACAACCAAAATGTAGTTCTCAGGTGTTGAAAATAACAGTATGTTTGTGATTTCTTTCCTGAATTTTCTCAAACAACCAGTAGACATGAATTCTAACTGCCCTGAATATTGTCTTATTCTCCAGCCCACCAGACCCCTTCCATATGAATGCTAGGGACTGACTTAAATGCAACCATGACTGAGTTTCTTCTGTGTTTCAGGCCTATTCTGTCATCTTGCATTACTCAAAACTCTTTCCCTTTTGTGATAGGAATGGGGAGAAGAAAAGCATCCATCAAGGACCCTTCACCAGTTTTTCTCAGCAATCTGTGTTCAAGGGAAAAAAAGAAACAAGGCTGTCACTACCCACCCATAATTCTCATTACCTTGCCCCCATAGACCACTGTGCCTCCTTGTTTCTTTATTTCTTCCACGGCTCTAACAAACATGCTCACTGCCTGTTTGGTATGCAGTGGTCCATAGAGAATATTCCCTGGGGAAAGAAAAGGGAAGCTCTTCATTTTGCCCTCAATAGCATCAATTTATTATGTTAGTGGTTTTTAAAACTAACCGGCCAAACCCTCCTCCTGTCGGGGCCCAATATTTCAGAAAGATGCTCTGCCCAGCCACAAAATTCTAGGAGCTCAGAATTTCTATTATCTTTTAGACATTCCCCAGCCACAGTGAGGAAAGACTCCTAGTTTGTGTAACAAAAGACCTAGGCCTGGGTGAGTCCACACCCACCCTCAAGGCTAGTGTCTGAGGGCTTGAGTACAAGCTGCTTAGGAGTATCCCTAGGATTAAAGAAAAAGGAAATATTTTACATTCAGCCCTTTGTACATGATAATAGATGTCTTCTGCCATGATCCTGATTTTGGAGAGTTACTTAAGATGATACTTGAATAAACCATGGTCTCCAGTATTGACTGAGAGCCCTCCTGATATGACCAGATGTCTTTGTCTCGTCCTTCCCTCATCCACATTCCTCCACTCAGGGACAGATCCAGGGCTGTTCAGCCGGTTCCATTCACAGCCCCAAAGACATCAGTTCAGAACAGATGGCCCCTGCAGCGTGGGACTGATGCAAGCAGGACCCAGCATCCTCTCTTTATCCTTAGTTAAAAGCAAAAATCAGCAACTTTTTCTGTGAAGGACCAGATTCTTAATATCTTATGCTTTGTATCAAGTATGTAGTTTCCAACACAACTACTCAACTCTGCCTTTATAGTTCCAATGCACCACCCACAATATGCAAATGAACAGGGGTGGCTTTGAGGCAGACAGAAACAGATAGCAAACCAAATGTGTTTGCTAACCCCTGTCTTAGAGGAATAGCTATCAAAGTGATGCCCTAAAAATGCAGGAGTGACATGTTCATAACAGTGTGCCCACTCTTGAAGGCCATTATAATCTCTGTGGCTAGTGTGTGTAGTTCAAT